ACTTAATGTATTTCCCAATCACATGTTTGTTAGCAAATAAAAGAGTAACCCTAAATGAATACTACGAAGAAAAAAACTTGTTAAGTTTATGCAAACTGTTGGTATAGAGTCGACCGAGGCCTAGACAAAACATTTAATGAATTGTTAAAGAACAATGCCATTATCAAAAACTAACTGTGCAGAATTGAGGGAGTGAAAAAAAAGTGTTGCAAGTGGTTTTGATCGATTTTCTTCATCGAATATCTCTTTCGTTATTAACTCAACTACAAACACATTCCTTGATATGTTCGCCATTCTGGATGCCAGATGAGAACCTCCTCCTTGAAAATGGTGTAATAATATCCCTTGCGTAATTAATGGATGGATCCTTATGAGTCGTTTCCTAAAAATGCTGAAAAGTTACTCAGTGTTTTAAAAGCTGATTAAAAGTTATAAGCATTGGCGTAAATAGAGGGGAGCCAGGGAATGCCTAACCCTCCCCAGACCTGTTCGATTATTTTATCATATTACCGGGAGGGGGGCGTGTCCCCCTAACCACAACATTCAATTTACGCCAATGGTTGTTTGCTTATAGGATTTTGCAGATGTTACTCAATACTGAAAAATAGTGATACGTGCTACAATTAAGTTTTAAAAAGGGTAAAAACTACAGGTTTAGGATGGCACATATTTGTTATATTGCTCACAGGTTTTATGCGTTTTTAGTGACAATGTAGATGGAAGTAAACATAAAAACAAGACATTTTAAAAAACAATTTAAAAGCAAACGTTTCCTTCGATCAGAAGGTAATTAAAAACAACTCTCGATTATATTCTTCCTAGAATTTTTCCTCGTCCGACTGCGGATCATACTCGATGAAGTCCTCCAAGTTGTAATGGCCTTCACCATTATCAATCTGTTCTTCAGTCTGTATCTCGGATTCTCCTTGACTTGAGAGGTTTTTCTCTTCCTCTGCTACGCCCTCTGATCGGTCCTCAGCTACGTCTTCCGGCTTCTCATTGTATGTTACTAACTCCCTCTTAGTGTGACCAAAAAAATCGTTTATGGTTGCTGTTCGTTTTGGGCGTTCATGCTCCGCCAGGTGTTGTGAATAATTTGAAATTATCCATCGACAAGACCCGTTCTTGTTTATACGGGTACTTAAGGTGACCATTTTAGGACAAAAGCAGCATTTAACTTTGCTTTGCCGTGGTCCGCATATAGTCACCTCTGGATGTTCCAACTTAATGTTCTTTGAATCCGCCCAACGTATAATTTTTTTTAGCAATCGAAGCGGCCTGGACTGCGGATTCAGAATCCATCCCTGTATACGCTGAAAGGACATTGAACGGAGGCTGCGAGCGATGTTGTGAGCACGACTGTGAGTTGACAGCGATGTCGCTGGAATGACTGGATCCAACGAAATCAGTCGGTTTCACAGAGGGTGTGCTGTCGGGTTTCATAAACCGAGGACAGTTTTTACGATAGAGCTGAAATTTATATAAAGATTTGTTTTTTTTTTGTATTTCAATCAACTTTTATGTATGTGTTTCATAATTTACCTTTATAGTACGTTCAGACTGCAGAGTTATAACATGTTATAGCGCTAGCTTGATGGTGGTTTCTGTGTTGCAATTATTTGACAACCGTTATAACATGTTATAACTGCTCAGTCTGGCCAGCGTTTTAGGAAAATCTTATCGTCTGGCAATTTTCCTGCCGCTTCCTTCAGCAGCTCGATATGTCCTGGGACGATTATAAACTTTTCGGGATTTTTGAACTAGAGGTGGAAGTTTTCGGATGATGCTTCACAAAGAAGTGGTAGCTGTTCCCTGGCAAAATTTTCTAGCGACGTTATTAATCGGTCATCAACAGATTTTAATGCCGAATATCTCGCGTAACCCGCCGCGGTTATCAATTTTTTTTTAGATATTTGGGTATGATTTCGCCGGTGACATCTTCATACGACACCCAGAATGCCTTCGTATCTGAATCATTCATATTATTGCTTTGGCATGCAACTTACACTCGCGCTTACTTCAAAATTATGTAGCTAATATGCAAATATCGAGGCTCGTGTCAAGGATATAACCGAAACTTTTCTGACGTCCTGGAACCAAGGACAACAACTCACAAATGTTGTTGTGTTGATGTAATTTAATGTTTTGTCTAGCGTTTTGTTTGGCAAATGCGTCAATCAAACGCTAACTTTAAAATACCCAGTGATGAGAAGAATTACATGCAGTTTGAGAAATTATTATATCACACATAATCCATTAATAAGCTCGTGAATTAGCATGTGTTATCCACTCGGTTATCCATTGATCAATAAGTTTTACTTATACAGTTACAGTTACTCATTAATAGGCAATTAGTTACTTATTAAATTAATAAAGGCGTTTTTCATAAAATGGGAGAAATCCTACACATAAATGGGTAGTAAAAATTAAGCAGGTAAAGAATGAACACCAATAATGTATTTTTAATGCATTTTTGGTGATTTGTGCTTGAATATAAATACAATGACGCATTTTGTCTGTATTAGGCAGTTGTATTGCATTTTTGTATTTTTTGTGCAGTAGCGCGTAGCGTTGTGTATTTTTTTTTACTCGTCGAATATTTATGTATTTTTTTTCGAATTTTGTATTTTTTTTTCCAAGTTATGTATTTTTTTCGAATTTTGTATTTTTTTTTGCATTTTTTAGCAATGACGAGTAATGATGAATTTTTGTGTATTTTTTTTCATTCACGTATTTTCGATTCATTCATCAAGAGCAGTGAATTGCCCCTCGGATTCAGAAGCAAAAATTTGCTTATAACATATTTTCGATACAGTCCTTAGCTAAAGGAACTTAGCAAAGCGCAAAGTGAAAATAGTTGAATGCCCGTCAAAAAAGCTTCTAAAGAAACGTTACAAACCATAAATGAATACAATAGAAGCATAGAGGTAACTCTAAGACCAGAAGGTCCCGAAAAAACGTGCTCAACTTTTTGGCTCAGCTCTGGTACTATCTTCGGTCCCAAGCTAATCGATTCACCCCTCGAAACATAGGAAAATCCAATAACCCCTCATTTTATCTGTCAAACTTTCATAGCGAATCAAAACAAACATTGTGTAGTACTAGAATTTTGACTAGAATGGGGCACGTTAATCGATTTGCTTGGGACCAATAGGCTAGTCAAGTAGTGAGCCAATTTAAAATCGTTAGTTTCGTATTGATTGTTGATAGAAGCTCACACCGTAGCTTAACTACTCTAATAATAAAAATCGCTGGCAGGATAAAAATCCTGAATGGCGACGCACCTGAACACAGCATCCCAACAAACAATTTGAACTGATTAAGAGCTGAATAAGCAATTTTTCAGCTGAATAAACTTGTTTTTGTATGAATAAATTCTTATTCATTTTTCAATGTTTGTTGGGATTCCACTAATGTTTATTGACCAGTTTTCCTCCTAGTTTGAAATTTTGAGTATTTATTCTTAGTCTAGGATGATCAAATCTTACTAGATCTGAAATTACAAAACATTTTCCATGATCCAGTATCTATGGGGTTATACGCAATGGTGACGTAGGACTACGTGGTCTTATATAATAAATCTTATTTGATAACTGCAGCAGGAGCTTGTGTTTTGTGTAGGAATGTGAATTTGAGCGCGGTTCTCTCTGTATATACTCTTTAGTAAAACGCGCTTGATATAGCTGGCCCACAGCAACTCACGAAGAGCTACTGACTCCGATCAATAGCGGTGCGACTTCTTCCTCCTTATATGGATGCTCATGTGGACTGCAGATCGCTGCTTGCAGGCAGCCTTTCGTTGTGTACTGGAGTACACCAAACACCATCACTCCACTCACCACGCGGTGATTGAATAAACACCGTTTGGTGAGACCGGATGGAATTCAACTTTGAAATCTGTGTTAGGGTAATCGTTTTTTGCAGGCAATCGGTGATAATTTTAATTATCATAGCAACAGTTGCACATTCGTACAATTTTTAATAGTGACATTTTGAAAAATGATACATATAAATATATCTGATCGATTGGTGATAAAATTATTGAAATTGGTCCAGGGGCAGCTGAGTTATTAACGTTCAAAATCTTTCATAATTTTGTTACATTTTCTATTTTCGATTTTCACAAATGGTACCCCCATATAGAAATCACAGACGTAGTCCTACGTCAAAAACAAACATCCAAGACACATAATGTTGAAAACCGTAATTATTACAACAATTAATTAATTTAGCTTTATTTAGGGTATTATTACAACAATTAAAATTATTAGACTGTAATCAATATTCATAAACAAACCCTACTCTTACCTATTCAGTCCAGTGGCCTTCGATAAATGTTTATGGATTTGATTCTAAGATGCATGAATAAATTCTGAGATTTACAAAAAGTATCTCAATTCTGGGACTTTTAGAACAACTTTGTTGTGATTATAAATTTAGCTTTCATTTAAATTCGCCCCCTGACACCCTCTTGCAACGCCCATGACCTGACTAAAAAGAACTGGAGTAAACGCATCAATAGTGGAGGTACGTTAGTGCAATGTGTTCTTAAAGTGACTTATAGAGCCTCCATAAGCCACTATAGGAACACATTGCACTTACGTATCTCCACTATTGGAGCTTTTATCTCTGTAATTTTTTTTTTAAAATTTTGTTTATTTGCAAAAGCTGCTCCTCCGCACCCTGCCTCCGGCCTAGAATACATTCACACTTGACGGTCACCCATATGTAGGTATAAATAACCGCAAATTGAAACGATACACGATCACAGCACTCGAAATCCACACAGGCCTAGAACTTGGAATCAGACATATTTCTTCAAAGCATTGGGTATTATTATTTCATGCACCAATCACCGACCAACCGTAAAGCGCGCGCGCTCTCAGCTAGAACCCTCTCGAAACGAAATCACCCCACCATCCGGTCGAACCAGTTAGTTTATTCGATAGCTCTCCCGCGCCCTCTCCGAAGGACTTTATAAATGCATTGAGCGTACCACTGACCTGCACTAGTATCACCTTAGCCGTTCAGCAGTATCATTCGAAAGCAGTTCATCAGCCGCTGCCATATCGGATGATTGCATTCAATAAAGGCATTTCATCAGATTAATTTATCAAACGAAACGGAATCAAACATGTGTGGCATCTTTTCGATATTCCTCAACACCGAGTACGACAGTGCATCTCCGTTGTACCGGTATGGTAACCGCTCGGAATCACTTCGAGAGTTGGCATTTCGGCAGTCGGCCAAGCAAAGACACCGCGGACCGGACCATACCGGCCTGGTGGTGGACAATGGCGCTGGGTTCGTGATGGTCCAGGAGAGACTGTGTGTGATTGGCGTTAAAACGGGAAGCCAGCCATTTTTGTCCCAGGATGGGCAGATACTGCTGGCCGCTAACGGTGAGATTTACAACTATCTGCAAATGGCTAAGGAAATCAACGGTGCGCTGAAGCCGGGCGAGGAAACATACATTCCGAGAAGTGATTGCGATGTTATAATTGCGTATTACGAGAAGTTTGGTGTGACAGGACTGATGGAGACGATTCGTGGCATGTTTGCTTTCGTACTGTACGATAGGAAGAATGGAAAAGTGCTGGTGGCACGAGATCCTATCGGGATTGTACCGCTGTATAGTGGAACGGACTGCGAAGGAAACATGTGGGTGGCAAGTGAGATGAAGTGTTTGGTGGAAAAGTGTCCGGAGATTGTCATTTTCCCACCGGGTCATATGCACTACGGTACAAGGCAAAAATTAGAACCATTATGCTACTATGAGCCCCAGTGGATGTTTGAGATACCTCAGATGCATGTGGATTTGGAGAAACTGAAATCCTATCTGGAGGATGCTGTAGTTTCGCATCTGCAGTGTGACGTCCCCATGGGAGCTCTACTGAGTGGTGGCCTGGATTCAAGTTTGATCGCATCCATCGCCACCAAAGTCATGAGAAAACGTCACGGCCCAGATTATCGCTTGAAAACCTACAGCGTCGGACTGGTCGGTGGTCCAGATTTTGCATTTGGACAAATGGTTGCCGACTACATTGACAGTGACCATACCGAAGTTTACTTCACCATTGACGAAGGCTTGAACTACATTCGCAACGCAATCTTACATGCGGAAACCTACGATATAACGACCGTTCGGTGTACCATCCCACTGCTACTGCTCTCGAGGTTCATCAAAAGCGAAGGCATCAAAATGGTCCTCTCCGGTGAAGGCGCAGACGAACTATTCGGAGGTTATCTGTACTTCCATCAATCTCCAAACGCAGCGGAATTTCACAAAGAAACGGTTATGCGAGTCAAGAACCTGCACTATTCGGATTGTCTCCGGGCCAACAAAGGCACTTCCGCTTGGGGACTTGAGTTGCGCGTCCCGTTCCTCGATACCGATTTCGTCAACTACGTGATGAACATTCGACCGGAAGACCGAATGCCACAGGTCAAAGTCAACGGAAAGGTGCAATCGATGGAAAAGTATATCCTGCGTCAAGCATTTGCCAGCGATTACCTACCGGCTGAAGTCCTTTGGCGTCAGAAGGAACAGTTTTCCGACGGGGTCGGATATTCATGGATCGATACCATTACCGAGTATGCAGCGTCGCACATTAGTGATGTCGAATTCGCAACCGCCACCGAGCGATTCCCTATCAATCCTCCACCGACGAAGGAAGCTTTTTACTACCGGCAGGTATTCGAGGAGCTGTTTCCGAGCCACAGCTGTGCAGCTACCGTCCAACGATGGTTACCACGGACCGACTGGGGTTGTTCTGCGGATCCATCCGGTCGGAAGCAGACCGTGCACAAATTCAATTAAAGATGTCGAACACAGGAATTCTAATGATTCTCAAAATAGAAAGTAGCTGTAGTTTTAGTTAATTGCACTCCAACCGGAAAATGTAGCAGATTTATATTAAAGATAGTCAGAATCTGTCATGAATCACCGATAAAATTAAGTTTCAAATTATTTTTAAATATTTAATGTTAGCTTAAAAAAAATATCATTAATTTATGTTTGGTATTTTAATGAATAAAATAGATTTACTTTGCAACTCTGAACCTATGAAATCTTCGAAAAAGTCCGGACACATTAAAAACGCTGTCTAAGGGGAAGTTCACCGCTCAAAAAAAATAACGTTTTGATTTTTCTAAAAATATTGGAAAATATACCAAAAATCCAAAAAAAAAAAAGTAGAAGGGTCTGTGCCTAGGGGCACGAAGAGAAGCTTGACGTAGGACCGCTAGTGGACGGAATAAATGTGAAGAGCATTAAGTTCTTTTAATTGATCAATTATCTATTATCTCAACTCTTTCCGTTTTTGAATTGTTGGCGTACCAAATTTGTAGTAATCTTTTTCAAAGAGAAAGTTGATTAAGAGAATCAATCAAAATCACTTGCACCCCTGCTTCCAAGTTTGGTTACAAGATTACAACTCTGGAGAGCATTTTGTGTGGTCGTTGGGGGCTTGTAGTTCTGAATATGGACAAACAAGCACAGATAAATTCTATTCCAACTGATGTAAGCTTGATGGCCCTGAAAAGGGTCGTTTATTGAAGAGGACATCCATGGCCACTTACGCTTGGCGTGTTTAGTGTAGGTGACAGCGTCACGGACCTCATTTTCCAGGAAAACCTTCAGCACACCTCGTAGATCAGACCGGAGATACGTTTGACACCACCACGGCGAGCAAGACGACCGATGGCGGTTATCTCGAAGAACTTTGCGATGACGCTTGGCGCCTCCTTTACCAGACCTTTTCCTCCTTTGCCACGACCAGTCAATTGTTGCTTGTTAGGTGTGAAGGAGTGGACTAGCCACCACCTTCCTACAGCTGCTATTGCTGTTCACCACGCCGTCCGAAGCGAAAATGAGCTAATGCCATTTTTTTGCCATTTAAATGATCTTTATTTCTTGTGTTTGTGTGGTTTACATGTATGAATTTTTCAAGTGACACAGATGCGTCTTTTCAACTTTAGTCCATTTGAGATTTTAATTATTATTTACAGTGCCTAGTTCTATCAGGCCTATTTTAAAGTATGACCACCTTCGTGGGATTGGTTTGATTTCAATTGGAAAAAGGAGACTACTTATAACTACTATTTACAACTACAACTAATCTACAACTACTATATACACCTAACCTACTATATACAAATTGTTTATCAAAGCATGTTCTGATAAATTACATTTTTGTGAAAATTTAGTCTTAATTTCGTTAATTTTGGAATCTATTTTGGCAATGCCTGCCTCTTCATGTAAATTTGTTATTCTAGTGTCGAAAGGACGATCAAGAACCATCCTCAGCACTCTATTCTGAGCTACCTGAATTTTGTTCCTGTGAGTCTGTGCACATGATTCCCACACCGGAGCTGCGTAGAGGATCGCAGGTGCTACGATTTGTTTTTAGACGGCCAGTTTGTTCACCCTTGAGAGGCGGGATCTGCGGCAAATCAGCGGATACAGACACCTAACCAAGGCGGAACACTTGACTACGGTTTTCTCCACATGCGAGCGGAATAGGAGCTTTTCGTCAAACAACATCCCGAGATAGGTTACTTCGGCGGACCACTGAACCCTTGTGCCATCCATGATTACAGTACAAGAGGGAGCCGGTTTTAGTTTGGGTGATTGTCGATGGAGGAACATGATTGTTTGTGTTTTGGAAGCATTGATTTTGATTTTCCACGTGGTGGCATAATCAGCAAAGGCGTTAAGGCATCGTTGAAGTTTGTTCGTTATTTCGCGAGGCATCCTTCCTTTGACGGCTATTGCGGTATCATCTGCGAACAGGAAGAACACGCAACCGTCTCCAAGGGGAGGAATGTCGGAAGTGTAAATGCTGTAAAGCAAGGGGCCCAGCAGACTGCCTTGCGGGACTCCTGCTGGGATGGAAAACGTGTCTGAAAGACAACCATTCAACGATACCTTAAACGACCTTTGCTGGAGGTAGCTACGGGTGATTTTAACCAAATGTAATGGAAAGTTGAAGTTACAAAGCTTGTATACAAGCCCATTGTGCCAGACATTATCAAACGCTTTCTCAACGTCTAACAATGCCATGGCTGTGGACTTGGATACAGCTTTGTTACTTCGGATGTTATTCATCACCCGCACTAGCTGGTGATTGGTGGAGTGCCCCTTTCTGAACCCAAACTGTTCCGGAAGGAGAATGTTATTTTCCTCGACAAACTTGAGCAAACGATTGAGAATGAGTTTCTCGAACAATTTGCTCAGCGCTGAAAGGAGGCTGATTGGTCTGTAGCTTGAAGCTAGCGTTGGGTCCTTCCCGGGTTTGCGGATAGGTATGATTTTCGCTGTCTTCCAGATACTTGGAAAGTAGTGCAGTTCCAAGCATCTGTTGAAGATAGCAGTCAGCAGAGAGTGAACCTTCATGCTGAGATTTTTCAACACTAGGTTGAATATTCCGTCAAACCCGCGGGCCTTCATGTTTTTGGTGCATTTCAGCGCTGAGCAAATCTGTTCCACTGTGATTCTATGCTCCGGAGGGATGGCACAAGGGGAGGAATCAAGGTTGAGTACGCATTGCTCAACCTGAACTTCGAGCGGACTTTGGATGTTGGAGCCAAGCAAGTGCGATTTGGCAATATGCTCACCAATCGCATTTGCTTTCTCCTGAGGGGTGATTATGAGCCGATCGTCATCATTTTCATCTTTTAGTGGTGGAATGGGTTTAGGGTGCGTCTTTAAGACCTTGGCAACTTTCCAGAATGGTCTGGAGCGGTCGTCCAGATTCTGGACAAGCCGCCCGAAACTTTCGTTCCGGAGTGAGACCATTCTGGAAGCAATCTCCTTGTTCAGATCGGCCATTAAACGTTTCCTCGCTTGATCTCCAGTCCTCTGAAACTGGCGTCTACGAACATTTCTCAGGCGAATTAAGAGTTGGGTGTGGGAATCAATAGCAATAAACTTACCCCTCACAGGAACTCGTCGGACGCACGTCTCGTCAGCCACGGTTATGGATTGGTGGAGTCCCTCCAACGCTCGGTCGATGTCCTCCACGGCGTCAAACGGCGGGTTGTCGATGATGTGCTTGTCTACCATGCGTCCAAACTGGGCCCAGTTTACGTGATGATAGTCCTTGCGCAGGCTTGAAGCAGGAGCCACGTTGCATCCCAGCTCAGACACCACCGGTTGGTGGTCGGAGCTGAGTTCGTTCAAGGCTACCGGCTTGGACAAGCCGATATTTGTCAGGAACAGGTCTAGCGTCGATGGGTTGCCCGCCGGTGAGATAAATGTTGGCTCATCCGAAAACCAAACGGAGTACAGCCCATGCTGTGAGCTGGTGCGATCAAGCCGGATAATGTTGTGGTCAGGCAACCAGAAGCTGTCGCCGGACTTTAGATGGGTCTCGGTTAGAAGGCCCACGTCGATGCTGTGCTTGCGGAGGAAGTCGGCAAGCTCAATCTCTTTTGCTCTTACAGAGCAAGCATTCCAGGTGACGATACTTAGCGGTTTAGACGCCATACTGGATGATGAACTTACCGAGCACTTGGATCTGTTCGGGCTTATTGCGGCACTTACGAAGAGCACCGGACATGTTGACGAAGATTTCCATCAGTTCATCCGCTGAGAACAGATCAGGGTTGTTGTTTTGCGCTGTTGGTTGTCTCCAGAATCCAGGGGGGATGGAGAGCTTTGGCCAGCAGAATCACCGGAAGTTGCTTGAGCGGAATGCACCCGCGAATTCACTTGCCTTTGCTGAGGAGCACGAAGGGGCGGGAAATCCTCCGTCCGAAATGCCGGGACTTTGTCCTTCTTGCGTCCTGGTTGGTTGTTAGTTGCCGCCTGTTTTCGGATGCGTTTGAAGTCCTCGTGTTTGGAGCACTGTCTGTCGGAACCTTGATGAGCACCACCACAGTTGGCGCATTTTAACGCCACGGCTCCATCCGCAGGGCAGTTGGAAGTGGCGTGTTCTTGAGCGCAGTTGCTACAGCGTGGCTTGATGTTGCAGTTGCGAGTGCCGTGTCCAAAGTTCAGACATCGTTGGCACTGGGTCACATCGCGATGGCCTCCACGGTATTGCTCCCATCGTACGATTATGGAGCAGATTGAGCGGATAGCCTGCAGCGCATTCAGTATCACCGTTCCCTTCTGGAAGTGCACCAGGAAAAGACAATCCGGGTACGTCTTCACGTTTTCGTCTCGCCTCGTCATTCGAAAGACAGCGATTGGGGCCAGCTTGTACCGGTCCTTGAGTTCTTCTTCGATCGCCTTGGGATCAACATCCGGTAGACCCCTGATGACTACCTTGAAGGGCTTTTCACCGGGGATGTCGTGCGTGAAGTATTCCGCATTGGAATCCTTCAGGAATTTGACTGCGATTTCGTATTCCGCTTACGTCCGGAGCATCACCTTAGTGCCGATCCTGCTGATCTTGTACTCAGCTCCGATGCCCAGCGATGCGAAATCGCCAATGAGCGTCTTGAGTAGCACTACCTTCACCACCAGTGGAGGAAGCTTGACTTTCGCCGTACTCGGGCCGGCAGAATTCTCGGTTTCGACGGCATCGCGTCCGCTCGTACCATTGGCCTGTCCTTGGTTCTTCTTCCTCTTTTTCGTCCGCTTCACCGGGATTGGGTTGGTATTTCCAACATCGGTGGGCAGAGTAGCGTACCTATTTGAGGTAGGTACCGAGTTACCCTCACCACTGTTCTTCTTCTCCGCTTGGTCACGAAGTCGGCTCCGAGAGCGCTGTCTTCCCATCACGCGATGCGACTGACACTACTGACGACGCGACGTGCAGTATATCTGCGAACGTTTGTAACAAACTATTGATTTATCGAACAACTCGACAAAGCGAGCAAAGACCGAACTGAACTGCTTGACGTTCAAGCAGAGGAAGAGCTAATGCCATACAGCAGCGCTCTTTTATATCTATTCAGGTTAAAGCAGAATGATGTGCAACCAAG